GCCAGGGATCTGCTGTAAGCAAGGGAAAGCAGAATTAATGGGACATGGACTTGGAATTAACAAAATCATGTTGAAGATGCTTGAGCTGGGGCAGAACTAGAGAAGGACATTCAGCAGTCACCATCTAGAGATGAAGGGTGGAGACAGGCAGCAGTTTGGGAAGCTGAGTAATTGCAGGAATGAAGTGGGCTTGAGACACAGTTCTGGCAACCTGAGTAAAGAGATTAAGTGAACTTCATTTGAGCTACAGGTTATATTCCTTTGGGGAAAGAACAGCATGTGAGAAGGCAGAGCAGCCTTTCACCCAGGGGCTCCACTGCCTCTCATTCAAAGCCAAGTTTGATATAGGTGAGTGAATTTCAGTCACTTTTATTGAGAGAATTATTAAGGTGTGAAAAAATACATTAAAGCCTCACCAGGTAAGACAAATAAGTAGCATGAGGCAGTTGAAATTCTAACACTTAGGAGAATTCTGATATGAAAGACAAAAAACAAATCAGAAGATCAGAAGAGAGCAATTCAGCAGTACTGAGGATGTCTCTGCTCCACAGAGCCATGGAAGTCAGCCCCTCCCCATCTGACTCATGCTCTCTTCTGACAAGCAAAGAGCCTTAGGACATCTTACCATGGCAAGTGAGCCCAGTAGCTTATTAGTTCTAGCTCTGCATTTGTTATGTATTTTCATTAAAAAAATCTTTGGGTTTGGCAGTTGGCTCTTCAACAGTGTTTATCCTGCCTTAAGAGTTTTTGCTTAGAAAATAAAAGTTACCTGAACAAAGCGGCTTCTTTGCTTCACCACCTCATCTGGTCAGGGTGAATCATTGTAGAGATCAGTATCTTCAAGGAGATGAAAGAAAGGATGCTAGGTTCCACTAAATTAGGCTTGGACTTTTGAGGTAAATCCAAAAGTGCATTTTGTTTAGGAGTACTTTTTCCAGTTTTTGAAGATTAAGAAGCAATTGCAGCCCCTAATTAGAAATTAGAGTAGATGCAGAAGAGACTGAAAAGAAAGGGGGAAGATAGATGACAGAGAAAATATACATAACTGAGTAGAAGAACTTATCTGCATCTTGAAATGATGTATTTTCAGAAGGCTTTATCACATGCTCCTACAATCTAAAGAGACAATCTTTAGTTTACAAAGCAAGCAACTAATCAACCAAAAACCCTGCTAAATGGAATTTGCTAGTTGTGTGGATCCTCTCCCTGTTTTGTAGGTCAGACATCTTGCTGTAATGTGCTCCTCTACAGTCTATAATTACAGGCTGTCCTCATTCTTACTGACATTTTCAACATATAATATTCAGTCATAAATTTCAGCTATCTTAGATGCCAAATGATTTTGGCTTTTATTGGCAAGAAGTATTTTTTGTTATGAAGTCATGAAATTTGGTGTGTGGCAATTAACCCTCTTGGAATTCATGGAATAGAATAATTGAGATTGGAAAATACCTTTAAGATCATCAAATCCAACCATTAACACAACACTGCAAAGTCCACCACTAAACCATGTCTCTTGGCACCACATCTACTCTTCTTTTACCTACTTCCACGTTTGGTGACTCCACCACTTCCCTGGGCAGCCTGTTCCAGCCTGACAACCCTTTCCATGAAGAAATTTTTTCATAATAATCAATCCAAACCCCCTCTAGTAAACTTGAGATCATTTCCTTTCATCCTGTCCCTTGTTACCTGGGAGAAGAGACCAACCCCCATCTAGTTAAAACCTCCTTTCAGGGAGTTGTAGAGAGCCATAAGGTCTCCCCTGAGCCTCCTTTTTTTTAGGCTAAACTCCCCCAGCTCCCTTATCAGACTTGTGCTCCACTAAGTTTGCCCAGCAGCAGAATAAAGTTACTCAAAATTACTGATGTGGATTAATTCCCACAAGTTTGTTTGATTGATTTGGGATTTTTTTTTTTTAGTATTTTCTAAGTCCTCTCTCCTGTTCCTTTCTAGTTTTCTGGCTTGTCCTTTCTATCTGCCTTCCACAGCTCACCTGTTCTGAATTTCTAGAGCATCGACGGATTACTGTAGGTGTGTAATTTGCAATTCCACCTCATAGGAATTCACAAATACGCCCAACTCTTCTGTTCATAGAGCTAGTGCACCCCTTGCTTCAGCACTGGTGCATATTGAACTTGTAGATGAGATTGTCTTCTGGGTGAACCTGAGCTCCAGCTATGTAGAAATAAACTCCTTACCAAGCAAATGGTGGAGTGAAGCAGCCTCTGGGGTCCATAAAGAGAATGTGTTTGGATTGCATGTGGAGATAAAGCAGTACAGAGGCTGCATTTCTGTTCAGTGCTGCAGAACTGCTCAAAAGGAAAATGTTTTTAAAAATGCTGCTGCAATGCTGAAATGATTCTCCACCCTTACTCTGTCTTCTGGTTCTTCAACCCTTTTTTCCTTCCTCATGATCTGTAGCCTATCTGATATCTATTAACCCTACTCCTACAAACACCATCTTCTCACCATAAGAAGATTGTAGTGCCTTGTGAAAACATTTTGCTGTCTTCATCAAGGAACAACTAGGAAATATCTGTGAAACATATCATCAAAATCAGAGAAAAACACAAAACAATGTCACAAACTGGTGTGAGGATTGTAATTTTTAAAATAATGAGTTAGCCTCTCCCTTTCCATCCTTCCATTCTAGTCATCTGACTTACCATTATGGGTATCATTGGCTTAGCACCCACTGATTCTATAGAGTAAGCAACATGTTGATCACCATGTGAAATCTGAGATAAAATTATAGAAAAATGGACAGCATAATCCCAAAACAGAACCGAGAAGGTGACAAATGCTTATGTATTTGCACCAGTGTAGCTGTTGGGGCTGCCACTGCATATGTAGCCACTGGCTACACCACAGCCTGCGTGTTGCCTGTGTCCCTCAAACCCAAATAACTTTAAATTACTACCTGGATTCCCCAGGAATTACAGCTTTTCCCCCAAATAGGTACCATTTTAAATATTATATATTTATATAATATTTTTATAAATATATTTATAATATAAAAATATTTTTAAAATTCTGTACTTTCTAACTGCAAAGAACATAATTGCTAGTGGCTTTAATTCCCTAACTACACATTAATAAGAGACAAATTGTTTCACAATAGTCCTGCTGGAATAGAGAGCAAATATTGCTAAACATCCCTTGGTACACTTTAAAAATACAATATATCATCAGGATAAACTTTTGTGATGTGTTGCATAATATTTTAAACTTCTTAATATAATTCCAGTTCATACTTTACATATATATTTGATAATGTTTTTATTATTGTTCAGACACCAAGCTTTTTTTTGACATTCATTAAAATAATTCTGAAAACACTTGCAGAGTTCATTGTGATCAGTCTTGAAAACATCCTAGTAGCTGCACTACTGGATTAAATTAATTTTAAAAAAATTAATTTAGCCACCCAGCTTCTCAATAAAATGCCCACATAAAGGACAGCAGGCTTTTTTATTCCATCACACACCCACTGATATAAACACAATTATTAAGGGTTTTTATTTAAGTGGCCTCTTGCTTCAGAGCTTGAAGCACCTCTGATTCTGAGTAACTGCAGTTTCACATAACTATCCTTCAAGTTCTTCAGGATCCCTACCACACCTCATCCAAACATTTACCAGGCTCTGCCACTTCTCATGATGATGAGTGATACACAAGAACAGATCTTTTTTTTAATCTTTCAGTCTACACACCAGACTTGCTCCATCTATCTACCTGTGCAGGCAGAAGACAGTTACTAATTAATTAATGCCAAGGATGCAGAGTGAGACCAGGCTCTTTGTCACATGTAGCCCATTTATGGACAGCAAGAGTCAGTCTCACGCTGCACACGCTGTCACTGACATTGCAGACTGTGATAGATAGAAACTCTTTTGTTCGCCTAAATATATAGATATGATAGAATGCTTTGCGAAATTGTACTTTAGATATAAAGTTGAGAAAGGGGTTTGAAGGTCACTAACTTGCTGAAGCTGGCATAATTAATAACAGCCTAGCAGAAATCCCTGGAACACTAGGACAAGATAAACTTAGAGAGAAACAGTGAGAAAAGGTCAATGGAACAGGAGTGAGGAAGACTTGAAGCCTCCCTTCTACGACCACAAGAGAGTAGAAAAGAATCATCTAATGACCAGAGACGCATGCTCAGAAACGCCAGAGGAAAGCCACAACACCAGGAGGCCGAAACAAATAAAAAGACAAACACGGAAGCGGGAAGCGCGGCAGCTCTGCGGGAAGAGGTTTCTCCTCCTCCTCCCTGCCGCCCGGCGCCGACTTTTGCTTATTGCTGGCTTGCTATAATTAATAAAAACCTTTCCTTATATATCTGTTTCTAGTGTATTTATAACACAGACATTGGTCCTGATACCTGTGCTCCTGGGGCAGTTGTGATCAGGAACCAGGGATATGTGTTTTATGGCTCTGCAGCTTAAGATGGCTCAGAATGATGCCTGCTTCTGCGTAAAAGACAGGCTTCATCAAGTGATTTATTTTTTATACCCTGGAGTACAGCCAACCAATTCTGGTTATTCCATCACCACAGCCCGTCCCTTCCAATTGTTGATTATCCAAGTCTGAAAACAGCATTTTGCTGAAGGAAGCTGCGTCTTGAGAAGGGTTAAAAGAAAAGACTACTCAATTCCAACCTCTTCTTTGGAGCCTTTATTTCCTGGTTGTAAAAAAAGTTGTCATAAAATTTTAGAAATTCCTGCTTCAGCCTTTTCATATTTGCCACTGTGAGATTTAAATCATTAAAAGATGTTTCACAGTAGTCATTTTGACAAGGGCAATGCAAATGAAACAAGAAGTCACTCATTCTAGAAAAAGAAAATTTAAAATATTCAGGAATGCACATAAATTGCAAAGTTGGAAAATGCAGTTATGGCATTTAACAACAATAAAATCAGTAACTCTATCCAGCTGTCTACCTAATTTACAATAACACAAGCAAAAAAATGTAGTTCTTACAGTGAACTTACATTTCAAGAAATGCAAATATGCCAAGCTCTTCACCACAACCAGGAGAGTGAGGGTAAATGAAGAAGGAGCAGGGAGCCACCCATTGTCAACGTCTTGGCTGGAAATACAGAAATGTTCTGATAGCATCTGAACCTTGAACAGATGCATCTGTCAGAATTCTGTAATTGCTTCAATTCCCAGCTCTAACCACTCCAAATAGAAGTATCAGGAAAAACGACTCACAAATGATATAATCTTGAAATTTTGCGTGAATATTTCATGTAGAGAAGAAAATCTCATGGGGTGGAAGGAGAATAAGCATGCAGTTTTGTTGATTACCTACTAAGAACTAATTATAGCCTGCAGCCAGAGAAACACACACTGTTTCTCATATCTTCCATGGATAGCTGCTCTCTACTCTGGCTCAGGCACAGTGGCTACAGGGCAAGTTGGACAAGACAAAACATTTATGGTCTGCAGTCATCTGTTGTGACCAAAATAACCTTAAAGCTGCACCAAGCAGAATCCTCAAAAGGTGAAGGGTTTTGTGTAGTTCACACTAAAGGGGAAAAAGAAATTCTACTCTAGTCTTAAAATCATCATACCAGTATCTTCATTCACAAGATTCTGCTTTCATCTGTTTCCTTATCTACCTTCTTTCTATTAACCATTTCAGCTTGTTCTTCTCCTTGGTATAGTTCTGACTATGCACTTGCATTAATCTGGTATTAATTTTCAGCAATTGTTGGTTCATGTATATCAATTTACATTAATTACTCTTCAGAAGGTTGGTGTTGGTTCCAGTAACTTGAAGACTCTTTTTGTGTTTGGTCTCTAGCATGAAATACCCAGAAGAGTTAAACACACTTGATCTGTGGAGATTGGACCATAAGGAAAAGGCATTTTTAGCAGAAACAAGGAATATTTATAAACTGAACGTAGGAAATCGAGTGCAGATGTACTTAAGAAGTTCAGTCTCCAGTGGTTTAAAACTTGTTGACAGCCCTTGTTCATACTGGGGAAAAGAAGCTCCTGCTGTGAACAGGTTTTTATAGATAGATGTCTATGATTTTTGGATGCTACTGTTGCACCAGAACTAATTTCATTTTTGAGGGAACAACCATCATTGTTGGATGAGACCCATGTTATTACCAAGTAGAAAAACCTGTTTCATCTCTTTAGCTCACAGGGTCTTTATTTTTAGCCTGAACTGACTGATGATGAACCAAAGCCCCATCTTTTAATAGCTTCCAATTTCACCTGCATTTATTCAAAAGTGTCAAACTGGTTTAATTTCATATTACTGAGAAGCTATCAGATGTTTCTCCCCTCTTTAAAATCTACTCCATTTTACCACTGCAAAGATCTCATCTCCTTTAGCTCCATGTGGATGTGATTTGTTTTGGTTATTCTTTCACCATGCTGAAGTCCTGTCATGTTTCATACATTCCTCACTTTTAAATATTGTTATGCTGTGCTAGACAGACATACTCATATTGTTGCATCGCAACAAGAACACAGTGCAAGAAAAGTCCCTCTGGGAGAAACACGTTAGTGCCCTTGAGGAGTTCAACGCTAAAAGAGAAAGCTCAGGTTAATCTTGAGCTGCATCAAAGGTAGTGGGGCCAGCAGGATGAGGGAAGGGATTCTGCTCCTCTGCTCTGCTCTGGTGAGACCTCACCCGGAGTGCTGTGGGGACCCCAACACAGGAAACACATAGATCCATTCAAACGAGTCCAGACGAGGGGCACAAAGTTGATCAGAGGAGATGCAGCACCTCTCTTATGAAGACAAGCGAAGAGTGATGAGGTTGTTCAACCCGGAGAAGACTCCGTGGAGACCTTACAGCAGCTCCCACTATGTAAAGGGGCACAAGAGAGCCAGAGAGTGACCTTTCACAAGGGCATGGAGTGACAGGACAAGGAGGGATGGCTTCAAACTGAAGGGAAGTAGATGTAGATTAGATATGAGTAAGAAATTCTTTACTGTGAGAGTGGTGAGGCACCGGGACATGCTGCCCAGAGAAGCTGTGGATGCCCGATTCCTGAGACTGCTCAAGGCTGGGCAGGATGGGGCTTTGAGCGACCTGGTCTAGTGAAAGGTGTCGCTGCCCAATCTTCCAACGTCGCTCCCAACCCAAACCCTTCCATGATTCTCTGATTTTTCCGATGGGCGTTGTTTTCTTTCGTATTCCCCGAGCGAGGGACCCGAGGGTGTCGCCGCCCGGTGCCCTGGGCCTACCAGCGCCCCTCAGCTGCACCGCCCTTCACTCGTCACCACGGCAATCCCGCCCCGCTCTTCGCGTCACATCGCCCGGCGAGCGCAAGCCCCGCCCTCCCCGCGCTCCGATTGGTCAGCG